GTTAGGCAGCAATTCATTATTTTATCAAAAAGTAGATGTCTAATAAAAATTGAATATCGCATTAATGGCCCACCTCGTATGAGTGGTAAAACCGATAGCGATATACACAAAAAATACCATAAAAAAGAAACACAAGTATGGTTTCGTCATTAATTTAGTAAAAGCCTTATAAATTATTTTAATAAAGGTAATTGAATTTACGCGATTCAAAAATTAAATTGGGAGTAGTCACGTTCAACCAGATTACATTTCAAAAAATGGTGGATGATCAAACGCGCTCTCCAAAATTGCGAATAATTCAATGTTCCATTACTGTTAATAATTGATATTAATGGCATGTGATATAAAGTTTTTGAAAAAGACTACAAGTACTCGCTGTTGATCCATTTATACAAAAAAGTACTTTATAAATATTGGTTTTTATTTGGATTTGTTAAAGTGTAAAACATTTTTATGCAATTTTCGGAGAAGCGTAAAAACCTTCACCATTTCATAAAAAATAATTCTAATTTTTGGTGGATAGTTAATTTGAATTTTTTTTATTTAAAATTAAAGTGTCTCGACTGCCAGGGTCATTGAAACAGGTACAACATGATTATTATAAAAAAAAAATAATTGAGTATTCATAACTTGTAAAGGATATTAATGTCTTTTAGGAATTTAATAATATTAATTATTTGGTCTTAAGAACTAAGAAATTGTTTCAGATTTGGTGGTAGGTTCTAGATTCTCTTATGGTGCGCAAAGTCTGGGCAGTCTATGATGATGTTCTGGACGGTTAGGGGAAGCATGTAGCCTTACACATCGGTGGATCTTCGGTAGCCATTAAGTAACTGTGTGTTAGTCGAGTATGACCGATTCGAAGTATTCGGATGGTTAGTTTGTTCTTTCTTGAAAGATAAGGCATTTTAAACGGTTCAATGTTTGGTTGGATATCACGTAATTTAGATGTTATGGTAGTCCAGTGGGTTTGCATGTTCTCCAAACATTATTTTTGAAAAAATTTTGGATGTCTTTATGTAGCTGAATGTTTCCACTGCTAAATTTGATGAAGAAGTCTCCTTAGCTGCATGTCGGTTGCCTCGTTGCCTGGTATACCCACATGTGATGGTATCCAAATCACTGTTATGAATACTCCTTGCGCAATGAGAAGATAACAGGACTCATGTATTGTTTGGACCACTGAATTTTGTGAGGAACGATATTTTATTGATATTATTGATGCCAGTGAGTCTGTGCAAATGGCCACTCTTCTCGTGTTTATTTTAACAGATTTTACAGCTTGGTAGATGCCGAACAGCTCGCCAGTGTAAACACTGGCAAAATGTGGAAGAAGATTTTTAGAGATCACAGAGCATCCGACATAGTCTTTAATTTTAAAAGTATCTGTGTATAGGATGGTTTCGAATTGGGAAGAATTTATTAATTCTAGAAAAGCTTGTTTTTGAAAGTTTCTTGGAGTTTCCTTTTTAGGGTCATGAGCTACAGTGGTATTAAAAAGTGGTAGGAATTTTTTCCATAGCAGCATAGGAGAATAGGAATTGGAGTTGTTTGAGATAAATCGATATCAGCGAGAAGTGGAGCAAGGATTTGTGGTAACGTTTGAACATTGTGAGTGGAAACGTGGACGTTCGAATATGCCGCGTTAATTAAGGAATATGCTGGGTTTTTGGGATTTGCTAAAACCCTTGCACAGTGGGTAAGAAAAAGCTATTGTCGCCTCAGCCAGAGAGGTGGTTCGTTAGTTTCACAGCATAAACTTTCAGAGGGGCTGGATCTAAAATCTCCAAGGCATATTCTTAGTGCAGAATTTTAAACAGAATTCAGAGTTTTTAGAGCTTCCGTAATCTATCTTGGATCTAATTAGTGCTCTGGACACTTTGAGTGAAACTTCTTCTTCTGCTCCCCATTGATGGTAAGATAACGTTTTCAGAATATTAGGTCTGTTTAGGCAGTTATATTTCAATTCTCAGAGGTGTTTCTTCCAGTTAAGTTTGCTGTTAAAAATAAGTCCTAAGATCTTGTGATGGTCGACTACTGCTAAAAGACTATCGTTTGTGGAAATATTAGAATTTAACGTGCAGGATGATCGTCTGCTGAACTTTAATACTTTTGATTTTGTAGGGGAGAAGTAGAGACATTTTTTTTTGTAGACCACAAACTGAGCTGATTCACAGCTTCTTGGATTAGTGTAGAGGTAGATGTTACATTTTTACCAGAACAGTAGACAATAAGGTCATCTGCATATAGAGAAAGTTTGACCGGAGGGCCAATGGAGTTGCATATGTTGTTAATAGCAAGAATAAAAAGAGTCGGGCTTAAAACCGAGCCTGCGGTACACCATTTTCTTGGGAGAAGGTAGATCTTTTTCCATTAGCAGTAATTTTGAACTCACGATTAGTAAGAAAATTTTTAATAAAACTGAATAAGTTTCCTGTAACGTTACACTTTTTAAGACTTCGAGAATTGTAGGTCTCAAAAGGATATCAAAGGCACTCTCGATATCAAAGATAGCTGCTAGAACATCCTGTTTTTTTGAAAAAGCACTGAATACAGCAGACTGTAGTATTGATAGATTATCTAAGGTGCTGGGTTGGGGTCTGAAACCAGATTGGGCAGGTGTCAGGATTACATATTTCTCCAGGTACCAAAAAAGTCTTCAACTAGTTTTCACATCGTGCAGGTCAAAGAAATAGGCCTGTTTGAGTTTGGATCATCGGGTGGTTTTCCCTGTTTTTTAATTGGAAGTATTACAGCTTCTCGCCAGAGCTTGGGAAAAGATTTCTTGGTCCATATCTTATTATATATTTGTAGAAGTTTGGTGAGTCGTGAGGATGGCAAAATCTTAAGAAAAACAAATGGAATATTGTCGAGTCCGGCAGCTGAATTTTTGCATGTCGACAGAGCATCAAGCAGTTCGTATAAATTAAAAGGGAGATTTAAAGATTTGCAGTCTGCATAAGAAGTTGAAAGGGCAGATGTAACTGAGCTAATTGAGGTAGAAGGTATATTTTCTTGTTTGTTTCTCCTTTTTTTGTAGAAGTTTTGAGCAATTATGTTAACTATTGCTTGGCTGTCAGTTGTCACGTTACCATTACATAGTAATCCTGGAATGTTCATTTCAGATCTATTTCCCTGCATAGGTCTGAGTTTATTCCATATTTCACTAGGAGGGGTATCAGATGTAATTCAGAGGTTTTAGGAGGGTTATTTTGGTCACTGGAGCTAGAATAAATTCTCTTTTTGCCAGTGCGGAGACTCTGGGGAAGAGCTAAAATAGAATTATTGATATGGGCGGTAATTTCAGATTCCATGGGAGTAACAGCATGGGCAATAATTTCAGATTCCACAGGAGTATCAGCATAAGCGGTAATTTCAGATTCCTCAGGATCCACAGATGTTGAGTTAGAACAGTTACTTGTAATGTGATTAGCCTGTATCAGTAGAGATGAAGATTCTATAAGTATTGCCTTCGTGAGGGATAATAACAGAAGTCTAGATATCAATATATTCTACTGTTGGAGTAATATGCGCCTGACGTCTAAAGCTTAAAATAGGATTGTACTCTTCATCCGGGCTTCAAGCTCTTAAAAGAGAAACTGAAGACGCTAATTTCAAATTTAAATTCCTGATTGCACTTTCTATGAGCTCATTTGGAATAGATGGGCAGACATTAGATATTATAATTCGTTTGGATAAAGTGACAAGCCTGCGAATTAACAGTTTATTTTCTTATATTGAGATAATGGGATAAACTGTAATTAAATTGTCAACTATATCAGTCTTAGAGAGGTAAATGCAGATTCTGTTATTTGATATTCTTGAAGAGTGTGTAATATATTTTGGGCCAAAAATATTGCCTATTGATATAACATAGTCAAACAATTTAAGATTTTTTACAACTGCAAGCGGAATTGTTTGTTCCATCTTAGGGTACGATGGCTTAGGAGATGTTCTTGCTACAGAAACGTAATATTTATTTTGGAGTGCAGATATACTGGGTTCCTGAGTATTATTCGTAGTAGATATGGTATTTTTAACAGTAGTGGTATATTCTGAATTTAAATTGCCGCTTTTGTAGACAGAAGCGGCCTGTGTGTTGTTGCTAATGATTTAAATTCGTATGCTTGCCAACACAAAATATGCACATAGGGTATTGTTGGTTGCCTTGCCGATCGAGGATCTAACGGGCAGTGTGGTCGGTGTATTTATTGTTCTTATCAGTACAATTATCAAAAAGTGGTATCGAAAAATAGTAATTGCAAATAATCGCTGTCAATAAACAACGGATACTGTGTGTAAAGTTTACAACGAAATTAACACAAGAGGTGTATCACTATCTAGTCCACTTGTCGTAAAAAGTTCATCAATAAACAACTGGTATTTTCGACACAATTTATTAAAAATCGCAGAAAGTGTTTACACTTTCGCGACTCAGTTCGGAATTTCTTAATATAAATTATAATATGTAAAAATTAATTAATTTTTGTATACATTATTTAAATTTATAATGGACAAAAATCGAAGTAAATTTTTTGACGCACTTTTTAGAAAAATGTAGCAGAATTCTAGCCATAAAAAACTTGGAGAATGGACAATTGTTAACCAAATTTTTGACGAACTTTGTTCTAAAATTTGGATGAGTACTTACGAAAGAAAAAGTGAAAACAAACGGGAATTGAACATTTCTAAAAATCGTAATTCAACTCCCAAAAAATTTATTTTTAAATAAATCTCCATTTTTTTGGTTTTTTATTGTTATTATTTTTTATTTGACATTGCTTAATAATTAATAAATACTTTTTACAATTTACTAATAACATGTTCATATTTTTTTGAATATAATCAAAAAAGCACGTTCTTACAAAAAAAAACCTCCATCTTTTTTATAATATGACTGAATAAAATAATAAAATATATAATATTTTAATATAGAATGATTTGGCCTAAAGGGGCTATAACAAAAATAAAATTAAAAAAACATGCAAGGAGATACTTACGAACACAATTAAAAAATCCAACAACGTCCAAAAACTGGTAAAATATTTATGGAATCCCAAGGCAATCCACTTGAGAAACATCTCGATGATAAAAATAACGGAAAAAGCCAAATTCGTCCAATATAAAACTAACTTCAAATCTTGGTTTTCATCCAAATGAATATCTTCAAAGCATAAAGTAACACTTGAGGCAAAAATTAAAACTAGAATGAACCATTCAAATGCTGCAGTATCGACTACATCGAGAACAAGTTTTCTTAACCATACCCATTTTTTTCCCACTTTAGAGTCAGCACATCGGTTTAGACAGGAACATCTACAAAAAAGAAGAAAAAACAGTAATTGTAAAGTAATTTATAACCAATTTATATATGTACAAAAAGCCTGATTTTAGGAAATTTGTCGTTTCCTGTACAGTTTTTTATTTGATTGCATTGTAAATCAGTTAAAAGATTATTTAATAAGTAAAGAAACTAATAATTTAAAAAATGAAATCCAAAAATAGTAACAAAAGTTGCTCAAAATGTAGTCTTCAGAATTCATGGTTAATTAATTTACAACAAGAGCTAAAGCAACTAGTTTCAACAGACAGTTATTAAATTACAGCTTATCAAATCTCTGGTACATGCAGAACATTTATACTCAGTATATACTGTAGAAAGTTTGGCAACTTTGTTAAGTGATGCTTTAGATTATAAGTTTTCCAACGATACACCTTATTTTATTCAAGAAAATAAAATATTACAATGTAGTAAAATTGTTACGTTTTGTTGTATTTAGGTGTACCAAACCTATAAGAAATTACAGATAAAAATTTAGGTCCGTATATAAAAAAAGAAAAAAATGAAAATTTTGTTGAATCTACGGCCTATTTTATAAAACTACTTTGCAACATTTCACTTTACACTTTGCAAATTTACGAGTGCAAAATACTTGTGTTTCAAAAATTTATTATTAATGTTCATTTTCACTTTGGAAGTTGCTTTTCTAATTTTACTTTTTAACTGGTCAAATTTCTCTTCTATGAAACATAAATTTACTAAAAAGTTGTAAAGTAGTTTTATGAAATAAGCCCCTGGTTATATTAAACCAATATATTTTTTTGGATATCTTTTCTAACAAGAAAAAGATTGAGCTTTTCTTGAATTTTTCGAAGTCTGACACCTCTAAAACATCTATGGGCCATATGTATAGTTTTCCCTATTTAACCGAGAATGTATCAAGAACAAAATACTTTTTGCATTTATTTGCAAATAATGTTTTTTTGATATGGAATTATTTAAATATCCAAAAGTAACACTATTGCTATTATTACAATTATTTAAGTTGCTTTAAAACTATAGAATACAAATTGGAATAAAACCAAATGATTCAAGATCGTCCCAAGACCACCACAAAGCAGCTTCTAGCCAAAAAGGGCTCATACTATACAAACCTATATCAAAACTATTTAGTTTTAATTCATGTTCTCAAAGAGTTCTTTAATGCAATTTTAATTATGTATTATAACTGACGTTTTGCATTTAAAAGAAAGGTTTGGGCAAAATTGGAGGAACACCCAATTTGTGGCTCAATTATAACTTGTATATAAAATTAACCTAAATAAAGTTTTTTGTATATTTTACGCACTAGTTCTATCACCCATAGTATAGAAAAATATATAAAAGATAAGATTTTGCATACTTAGCATTTTAAAATAGTTTGTTTATATAAAAGTAGTTTATGCAGGTAAAAGGAGAGTTTCTAGTTAATTTTCAAGCCATTAACATCTATAATTATTGTATTTAAGTAAAATAAAATTTTTAATAAACTTTTTCGGTTCGAGATTTCATTTCTGGTGCAGTCAGTAGGATAATTCGGGATCGAGTCGTATCGAACGGATCGAGTTTTCGTGTTACCTATTAGCCGCATTACGAACTTTCAATTAAAACAATAAACTGTTGGTGATTAATTGTGAAGATGGTTTAGAAGACTTCAAGACTTGAGACATACATCACCCAAATCTACAAGCATTGCGGACTGGTGAAGACAGCATCAAAGATCCAGTGACGTTTTTGGGATTATTAAATAATCTTTTATTGTAAGTACAATTTATAGCAGATTTTACTTTTGATGAATCAGAGAAACGTTTATTCCAATTAAAAATCGAGTAACTACTTTACAAGAAGAAACAAATAATTTACAAGTAACAAATAATTTACAAGGAACCAATAATTTATAAGAATTAAATATGGCTTTCAAACCTGAATTTCTTAAATGTATATCTGAATTCGGTGGTAATCCTAATGATTTAAGTAGATTTTTAGCCGTGAGTGAATCTTTGCTCACATAATTTTATGATAGAGAACATCCAGAACATTTTTAAAATACATATTTATTGAATTCAATTATTTCAAAATTAAGGGATAATGCTAAAACGAAAGTAATTATTCAAAATTGTGCAAATTGGAATGATTAAAAAAATACAATAACTAGAAATTTCTCTGATCAAAGAGATGAAGTTTGTTTAAACAGGGTACTTGTAATTTTAAGACAAAATCAAAATGAACCGGCACAAAATTATTATGACAGATGTTTACATATATTAAATTTATTAGACGCCGCAAAAAATTTAAAACGAGAAATATATCAAAATTGCAATTTGTTTTGGAAGAAGCAAAATACTTTTCGCAATTTTCAAAATTAAAATCCTCGAAAGTTTTAAAATCAAAATTCTTCTCGCAATTTCCAAAATCAAAATTTTTCTCGAAATTTACTATTACAAAATACATTCGAAAATGTTTCAAGTTCTAATCCCACTCAAAGATCAAATTTCCAATATAATAACAATAATTATGTTTTACCGAATCAAAATAGAAAATTTTCGAATAATTTTAACACACCTAATGTTTTTTTCCATAAACAAAGAAATAATTTTCCGTCTTAACCTTTTAATTACCCAACTAATGCCCAATTTTTCGGACAGAATTATCCAAATAAGAATACAAATGTATTCAATCCAAATTAAAAAACAAATTTACCAAACCCTACACATATGTCAGTATCAACTAGGAATACTAGACAAAATTATTCGAGACCAGGACCTTCAAATTATTTTAGAAATTTAGCGGGTCAGTCATTAAATTTTACATATATACAGGGTGGCTCACGCTCAACGGGACGGAGCTTTATGGGAAAACGACCAAAAATAAAAAATTCGTTTGGGAGGAATACGTAGGTTACAGATGGCTACAATTTAAATTTTTTTAGATGTATACAGGATGTCCCTCATAAATGAAAAAAAATTAGTTCATTAAAAATTATTCAAACAAGAGTAAACAATTAATTTCTGGGAGACTTTTTTTCCTTAAAAATTCAAATAAATCGAAAACTAATAATAATAGTAATAGGGAACCTTTAGTTAACTGACATTATTTTTGATGTAGTTTTTAATTCTAAAATAAAAAACAGGGTGTTCCAATAAAAATAATATAACTTTGTGTATTTTCTCTTATGTGGGACATCCTGTATACATCTAACAAATTTTAAATTGTAGCCGTCTGTAACCTACGTATTCCTCCCAAACGAATTTGTTATATCTTTGGTCGTTTTCCCATAAAGCTCCGTCCCGTTGAGCGTGAGCCACCCTGTATATATAATTCAATGGTTAAAAATCCTGTAAATCAATATAATAATGATTATAATGATTCTGAAGAAGTTAATGATAATAAAGGGCAAACTCTAAATTTTCGGTAAATACCTCGGAACAAAATAACTCTGGAACAAAATCCCGTACACATTTCAATAAATTGTGCGGATTTAAGTGAATTACCCTATACAATTTTCCCTGAGCCTAATTTAAAAATATTGGTGGGCACAGGACCCTTGAAATTATTCATTAACACTGAAGTAGCTGAAAAATTTTAGGTGTTGGAGAAGTGCAAGGGATGTCTGTATTGTAGAAATGTTTTTAATTTGGAATTAAAATCGACAGGTTTTAGCATTTTCCTAAATTCCAATAATTAAAGCTGAAAAGCAGGATGAAAATGTGACTCATTCTGTATATCAAAAATGGCTACATATATCGAATTAGTTCATATAACAAAATCTGCTTCAAAATGCATTTTTTATGAGATGCGTTACACAAGAAAGATCCTCCCATCAAAAAAAAAAAAAAAATTACTGAGCGCAGCGCCATCTACATATTGACCTATTTTAAATTAGTTTATATCTAAAAATATCCGGCCTGGAATTTTTTATTGGTACTGTATTAGATTGAACCTACTTCATAAAAATACATACAGTGAGCAACATAAGTCTTACCCCCCCTATCTAACTCATTACTGGAGTCTTGTTAGGAAAATCGCCGAGACACGTCGATTTTTAATTTATACAATGTACATTTTTGTATGAATAGTTTACCCTTAATTTCATCCCTTGCTAGAGGGGAGCAACCCTTTCGAAAAATTTAAATGGCATGGGGTGGTAAGTAATAGCTCATTTAAAAGGGGGTTTTCTAAAGGCTGACAATTTGTGGGCTACTTTATTTTTATGTATAACTGATGAAAAAACAAGTCAGACCTCGATTTCATGTAACAGAGCCCGTCAGCAGTCATCGGAAGTGAACGTATTGAGTGCACGAGGACGCTGGTGTTATCTGGGGTTTTAATTCATTTTACTCCAGATTTTATAATTGTTCCAATATTAACTGAATACTAATCAAATATGTGCATCAAATGTTTCGATACTGACATCTTTGTTATATTGCTTGCAAATTTCAAAAATGTAAACAATCTATGTAATGTTTGGATGGAAGTCAGCGTTGGAAATAATAAATGTCGCATTGATGTAGGCAAATTATATTCGGAACTCTTTGCGCCTCTTTGCGCTGCTTTACCAGGTTTACATGCAGCTGTGACTATAATCCGGTATTTTTCAAGAAAGGGAAGGAACGTCCATTTAGTATTATGGAAGCGTCGGACGAACTCCAGCGCGCTTTTGCTGAGTTGAGCGATATTAATACCCAAGCAACACACATAGTCTAATGGACGTCCACTTTAGATCCACTTGAGGGCCAGCATGTTCATATCCATATTCGAACATCCATCGTACGTCTATTTTTGGACTTAATTATAAGTTTAGTAATACTTTGACGTCCAGCGGACGTCCATTTTAGGTCATTATTTATTAAGCCTACCAGATAATACATATCTATATATATTTTTTGTAGAATTGGTCATTAAAAATTGACAAATTAAATCTATTACATTATATTAGCGGAAGTTTGAAATCTTATTCTATTATAACCGTATCTAATAAAAAAATTTCAAGTGGCCT